GCTCTGAAATTCACTGATCACATGTCGATTTTTCCTACCGGTGACGTTAGGTAATGTTTCCGAAAAAGTACTGATGTCCAATATGAATTCACACTGAAGTTGAATGACGTTCCTGGTCAATATATCTGAAGTTTTTCGATTAATAAGTGTTGATCACAATTACAGCTTCCGTGATTTATAAAATACCAACTATAGTAAACCAATAATAATATATACTGTTTTTAGGCGCGTCTCGTTGATTATATTTATAGGCGTGTGGAGAGTTTCTCTAAAATTCAGATTACGTGACAATACAAAGCTACACTAGCGTTTACGTACACACATATATTGTTGATTCTTACACTCGAGAATCTTCTACAACTTTAGAGAATAGGCGGGAGTTTTGCAATACATATTTAACAGCATACGTTATATACACCTCTAAATATAAATTTAATTTAAACAAATTTCGATATTAAAATAAATATAGAATAATAAAACCGTCACAATTAAGCCAATTGACTAACCAATGACTGGTCAGTCTGTAGATGTAAAATTAAACTAAAAAATGGCCAACCAATAACCTGTCAATCTGTAGGTGTAAAAGGTAAATTAAAAGATTGGCCAATCAATGAATGGTCAACCTGTAGATGTAAAATGTAGATTTAAAAATTGGCCAACCAGTGATCGATAGATGTAAAACATCGATTAAAAAACGGCCAATCAATGACATATAAATTAAGTGTATTCTATAAAGTCCATGCAAAATATTAGAGTAAAGAGTATATTCGAAGGATTTAATCTGACATATAACTCTATACCAAAACAAGTGTATATTTTGTTATAATGCTGCGCAATTTGCTTTCCAAGTAAGTAGGCATTTTTGTACTTTCAGTTTTTAGTTTTACTTCTCACTTACAAGATTTGTAGCTGAAACGACTGTAGCAAATGTGGTTATCTTTAAAATAAGGTTTTGGGGTAACCTCAAAGAACTCGCCATGTCCTTTTTATACACCCCAACTGCTTCTCCCATATTTATTGAATGTGCAACTAAAATATATTACTTAGAGTATTTTTGAGTCATTTCTCTCTCTCTCTAAGTTTATTAATTTTGCTAGTAGTAATTTGTTTCTGTACCTTGTCCTATATCTTCATATTTGTGTGAATGTAACATTTCTATTATATGTTCATGAATAATTTCATTTATGTGTTTTGTCTGTGAACCTGACTAAGAACATATAAAAAAACATCAAACCTTGATAGTGTTGCATGAAAAATAATTAATTTGGATGAATGTAATGAACTTTTAGGTTGTTACGAGACACAGCTGGAGCAACTAAAGAAAAGCAATGCAGAGGAAATACAAGAACTTAGAATCACGTTGGCAGAAACCCATAAAGAAGAGGTTGAGAGGTGTAAGTTTAACTTTAAAATGTGCACTTTTATAGCTTGGGTAAATACAGTCAGCATCCCTACAAACTTAGTTCAAAAAATTATAAAAAGGTATAAACCTCTGGTTAAATGTTTCTCGCATTGAAAGCTATCAAATATATGTGTGGACAAAAGCATTCTTAATTTTTTTAAAGATTTCTAGTTAAACCAATTGCAAATAATAGATTATGTAAATATAAATCTCTGAAACTTGTAAAGTACGAATAAAACTGGAGTTTATCTACTTACTTTTTAATTACGTATGTTATTTTTGTATTATATTAACTTTGAATTTGATTCTTTAAATTCGATTTTCTTGGTATTTCATGAAATTTCTGTATATGTTGTTGTTCCATGGTGTGCACAACTTGTTAGTGTAAAGTGGATGTGCAAAGTAAAAGAAAGAAAAAAAAAGGCAATTTTGTTTCTTTCTCAGTGGTACTCGCTCATCAGGAAGAACTGAGAACCTTGAGAGCTAATCACGAAAAAGAGGTGGGTTTTAGAAACTCATTTCAAGACAATATTCTATTCCATCAGAATCATCATAGTTCCGTAAAAGGCTTTCACCCACTAACAGATCTATATGAATGTTTCTTACAGTGTCATTATTTAGTAAAATTATCTGAATACTTCATGGACTTCAGTTTTTCTAACTAAACTGCCAAATCTTCCATTAGCCTTCTACTCTCAAACCAAACTAGCTGACATTTTACATGTTCATAATAATACAGTCAACGCACTTGATCTTTACGTAGAAGATTACATTATTACATCTCACCACCACCCTCGCCCCATTTTTCTAGTAAAACGTTACATCTTGCCATTTTCAAACAAATCTACCTCTTCTCCTAGCCTTCCAATTCCTACCAAACTATTAGTTTAAGGCTCTTTTTATTCAGCCGTCCTATACGCACTCGACCATCAGTAAAGATCGCTGATCTTTCAGAAACCTGTTTTGTTTATCCTTCCTATACACTTCCGACTACCAGTAAAAGTGTATGACCTTTCTGAACTCCAATTCTCCAGCTTTCCCATATACCTTTATTCATCTGTAAAAACAGTTTGACCTTTGAAAATCGCAATTTTGTTCCTTCCTATTATCTCATTATCCAATAAAACTGTCAGAGCTCATTGTTTATAATTCTATAAGGCCCATTATTGAACACAATTATCTGTCATTTCATTAACTCCAACTGTATAACCTTGCTCTAGACTTTTCCATTCACTTATATTATCCAGCCAAGTTATCCAAATATCTCGAAACCTTTTCTTGTTCAGCGAAATGTTTTGCTTGTTTTTACTTAGGCTCTCATTCCAGCAAAAACTATTTTGCTTTCTATACTCTCCCATTTGCTGTTGAACTGTGTAACATTCTTATAATTATAATTACTTGCATGTACTAATACAATGGTTTGTTCCTCTAGATGTAAGATGTGGCACCAGAGGACGCATATTTTGCAACTGTATCTTTGGTTCAGGTTAATTCCCTATCATTTGAGAGTGTAATAGGACTTATAGCTGGGGGTTGTTGCCAAACCCCTTCTGTAGGAAATAATATTCATATAATGGTATTGTTGAATGATGTAGAGCCAAAGAGCACAATATGTTTTAGAAAGGAACAAAAGTGAAAAAAAAAACTCACACAGCAGAGCATTTAGAACAGAAACAAGGTCTTAAATTACAAGCCAAGATCAACTGGTACAATGTCCTCATCTGTAAGGTTAGACTGTGGCTACGTAGAAACAATGCTCTGATTCATAGATCCATTATAATGAAGTTGGGTATATCTCATGGTACCATTGACAAGTTAATAAACAAAGGTTTGAAGTTGATATGAAGGCTTACAACCAAACCTTTCAAAACCAACACATGTTTTATGAAAAATGTGAACAAATAAGTTGTAATTACAGAATTCCATTCAATCACATACCTGCTAAATCCATTGATACCGCTGCCATGGTCTTTTGTGATTTTTGTTTGTGTAAAATGATCTTGGAAACCGATGTTTCCTTACAGTGGAACACCTTTAAAAGATGTGCCAAAATGTTTGGTTTAAGACTAACTTCGTCATATTTTGCAAAAGCTTGTTGAAAATTTGGATGTCAAACAATACTTCATAATCATGACCTCCAATTTCATATGGTCACTAATGGAAAATTTAATTCCAAGCCATCAGAAGACCTAAAATATCTTTCATAGGAAGTGTTGCTAACCATCATTATTCTCATAATTTGTAATGAAACTATCTGATTTTCTTGTAGACTTCTGATATCTAAAACTCTATTTCATACTTTTAATAACCGATTACACTGTTCAAACTTCTTACAGCTTAGTCAGTTTGTCTTACCTTCACATAAAATGCTGTTACTCATCTCAACTGTTCTAGTTTTTATTTATTCCCCTTACTTAATTATCTGGCTTCTCATAAACCCTATATTATCTAGTTTGATTGGCTTGTCCCTTTCTAGTGTTTTATTATCTTCCCCAATCAGTACAGTGGTTTGCTCCTGCAGATGTAAGATGTGGTACCACAGGCAACAAGTTCAATACCTATATCTTCGGTTTACAGTGAATTTCCGATAATTTCTGATGATGCAAATAATCTTACCAAATTGTCTAGCTTCTTCATAGTCTTCTAGTGTTCCATCAACTATCAGATATTCTCATTGTATACACATATATACAAATTCTCCCCAAAATTTTAATATCAGACTCAGCTTTAACTTGTTTTAATAGTTCGTCCCTACACTAACATTATCTAAATTTATCCATAGACTTCTAGTTTTCAGCCTAATGTCAACCTATCTAAATTCCTATGTTGCATATCCAAGTTATCTGAATTCCCCGACAGACATCAGTGTCTAGGTAATTTGTTCAACTTTTATACATTTCATCTACCCACTCAAATAACCCAAATTATGACAAGAATTTTCATAACTCACCATATCTCAGTGATATTACTGCATTGTCACACTTTAAAATTTACTTTCCATCCTCCCTATAAACTCTCAATGTCAAGCTACACTGAATGTCAAACTATCCAGTCTTCTAATGTTCTTCCATTATTTAACTAACTGTCTGAAGTTCTCAATATATATATATATATAACATATATTCGATTCTCCAGTTTCCTCAAAAACTCCATGTCACATTAAGGTTTATGTTTTTTTTTTAATATTTCACTTCCCTACTCAAACTACCTAAAACTATTCATAAACTCTCATTGTTCAACACACCTATGTGACTTTCCATAGATTACCATTATTATCCTTCCAACAGAATCACATAGCATTCACTTATCTGTTTCCCCATGATATTGCTTTCCACTTTTTAGCTAAACAGTCCAGCCTTCTCACAACTTTACATTATCTAGTGACTTTGTATGGCCTGGTGGTTAGGGAACTCGACTCACAATCTGAGGGTCACTGGTTCAAATTCCATCCCTTAACACACTTCCCTTCCGCCTATGGGTGCTATAATATGATAGTCAATCCCAATATTTGTTAGTAAAGAGTAACCCAAGAATTGAAAGTGGGTAGTGTTGACCAGCTGCCTTCCCTCTAGGTTCTAAATTATGAACAGCTAGCACAGATAGCCATCGAGTAGCTTTGTGCAAAATTCAAAGTAAACAAACATCATCTAGTAAATATGTTCTGCTTTTTTGTAGTTTTATCTGTACAATTTACCCTTAATATCCTACTGTCTGATCAAACAGTCCAGCTTTGGCATTGATTTTCATTATAAATCCAAACTTCCCAGTTTCATTAGTGACTGGCTTCATTTATCCAATTAAACTGTTTTACCTTTTTATTACAAAACCATATTCACTTAGCCAAACCCTCCAGCTTTCTCATAAGCTTATAGTTTATTCAATTTTTTCATACATCTAAATGTAGCCAATGTATTTTACCTTCTTATATATTCCTTTTACCAAACCAGTCTCTCTAGCCTTTCTAAAACACATTATTTAGTTAAACTATTCCATCTTAACACAGACTTGAATTCAGTCAAACTGTTTACTGATAGTATCTTCAGTGTTCAGCTTTCTTAGACTTCCATTAACTATTCGACTGTTTTAACACTTTTTATATATTTCTATTATCTAGCCAACTTCCTAATTTATTGACCCAAATGTTTGACTTTGCTATAGACAGTGATTATCTAAAAATACTATTTTGCTTTGTAATTCGTTTTATTACTATAAAGTTTTCCTATAAAATCCTTTTATCCAGCCATAATGTCTAGTTTTCCCTTATCAAGCCTGATGTATTTTCTCCTTTACTTTCAATTTTAGATAAGTTATATATTTTACTTATAACTTTACGTTTTTGACAGTAGAATTCTAATGTACAATAACCTTCTTGTTGATCCTATTCAAACTTTTCAGTCTCTCAATAGACTTTAATTATACACATAACCATCCTTTCCTTCCTCTTATTTTCATCTTAAGCTAAATCATGGTTTCTTTTCATCATAAACTAATTCTTTTTCTTTCATCTTTATTTATATAGATAGCTCATGTCTAGCAAAGCACTTTCATGTAGACACCCACTCTCAGTGCCAGCCTTAGCAAGTTAATGCACAAAGCAGCATAGAACTAAGATCCATAATATAATAGCATTTAGGGGACCTGCAACCCTTACTCCAATTTTTTTAAAATTAAGACTCAAATTAAGTATCTAACTGTTATTTTAAGGGATTAAACATTGCATATTTTGTTGCACTTTTGTGAGGGATAAAAGTTATGTATATATATTTTATTAACCAATATGAGCCCCTAAAAATACAAGCAAATTTGCTTGTGCTTAAGACTAGCACTGCCTACTCTCATTAAAATGTCTAGTCTTTCCAATGCTTTCAAGTAGAATAACTTCTTAATGGTCATGTTCAACAACATATGAAACTAAAAAAATATGTTGAAATTCATTAAAATCTCTTCTTGATAATGTAATGATGAAAAGTACTTTCCCCAGGTGAACTTACAAGAAAGAAAAAATTTGTATGCACACTTGACACCTTATAACTTGTTTGACTATAACTAATAATTTCCTTTGACCTTTACCCTGTACAATCTTACATTCAGTTCTAATATTTTCATTTATTTGTGTTATTTGTTCCATAGTTATAATTTAAAAATTGTTAATAACTTGTTATTCAACTTATGTTTAACTTAAATTGATAATTTCTAAGGGATGTGAAAAGAGAAAAAAAGACTAGTAAATGGATTTCCCTGTTTTTACAGCAAAGTTTACATAAACGTGCACAAAAAGTTAGCTCATTTTTCGAATTGTAAGTTTAGAAACTTTCAAGAGGTGGTCCTTTCCTCAACAGCCTCAAAGTTTATAACAACAAATTCTGGCCTTTAACAAACAATAGCTTAACAATTTACGTTTCAACAATTGGGAAGATTTTTTTCAACATATTTAATTTTTACTGGAAATTTATGCATCTAATGATGTATTTTCTTTCTAAGGTTCAAGACTTAAAGAATATTCATGTCAAATCAATCAAAGATGCCCAAATCAGAAATAATTCATCAGTGGATTCCTTGAAAGAACAACACAATCGACTCATTAAAGGTAATCTTTTGATAGACAATCAAAGAAACTCCTTTCATATCATATAAGCAAATTGAAAATAAGTTCTATAGTTAAATACTCCATGTTTTTGTTGTTTTTTCGCATTAATTGGAAAATCAATTTATGCTATGGAAATGTTATGTATAAATACCAGAAAAGCTACTTTTGAAGGGATGTGACAAAAATTATCTGTTGTGAATTTGGTAGCTGAGTTATTTGGAAACACTGATCTAATGTGGAAAATTTTTAAGGATAAATTTTTAAATATCCATGATAAACATATTCCTTATAGAAATAAAAGGTTGGTTCCAAGTAAAAACCAAATTGGCTCACAAAGGGTATAAGGGATAAAATTAAAGAAAAACATCACAACTTCAAGAAATTTAAATTGACCAGTATGACACGAGATTTAAAGATTAAAGAAGATCAAGAAGGTTGGTCAAACAGGAAATTAGAACATCAAAAAGGATGTATGAAAGATGATTGGCTGAAAATGTATTAACAGTAAGGATTTCTTTAAATACATTAATGGTAAACAAAATGCTAGAATGGGGGTAGGACCCTTGAGGGATGATAAAGGAAGGCTAGTATCTGATGATTGTGAAATGGCTGGCTTATTAAATTCTGCTTTTTTCTTTGGTTTTTACTTGTGAAGATTTAGGCAGTATTCCTCATCTTGAAGTTGATAGATGGAGCAGGGTCAGACAATATGATTGCTTGAATTCTGAGCTTGTTAAGAAAATAATTGGGAAGTTTAAAAAATGATAAGGCTCCTAGGCCAGATAATATTTCCCTCTAGGGTTTTGAAGGAGTTTAAGGACTGGACATATGAGTCACTTGCTACTAGTTTTTGTAAGTCCTTAAACAGTTGGCAGGCACCAAAGGATTGGAAGTCAGCTAATGTCACTACTCATTTGAAGGGAGATATTAAACATTATCCCTGCAATTATAGGTTCATTAGTCTTACATCAGTTGTGAGAAAAGTTTTGAAAAGTCTGATAAAAGAACTTTATTGGATAGTCAACATGGTTTCACTAAAGAAAAATCTTGCCTTACAAATCTTTTAACATTCCTTGGAAAGGTTACTGCTTATGTAGATGAGGATAAGAGTGTATATTTGGTGTATCTGGATTTTCATAAATCCATTGACAAGGTGCCATATAAAAGGCTTGTAAAAAAAATAATCTTTATAGGTGTGTGGGATAAGTTAGCTAATTGGATAGAAGAGTGTCTGGATGGAAAAAAGCAGAGGGTTGTTATAAATGGAGTTCAGTCAAACTGGATTATTGTCACAAATGGGGTACCTTAGGGCCCAGTCTTAGGACCTTTGATATTTTTTATTTATATCAACGACATAGATGAGGGAATGGTCAATAAATTACTTAAATTTGCTGATGATATTAAGGTCTTTGGTGTTGCTAGCTGTGAAGAGAATACTGCTGCTTTACAAAATGATTTATATCATTTAGTGATACTGGGGAAATAAATGGCAGATGAGTTTAATTAAAAT